TAAAATGACCAATGTTTAGAGGGAAAAAAAAATTAGAGGCATCATTTGCTCACGGATTTCAGTGGAATAATCGTCGATGTTTTTTCAGAGCATTCATTTTCCAATTCCAAGTCATCAGAGTTCGCCTTCCCACGTCCATAAATGTAAACCGTAAAGTGGCGGTCCAAACCGAAGTTCAAAAAGAGGATGAGAATTACTTGAAGCTCGGAGAACTACCACAATGGACGAAACATGTGGAATCAGGATGGATGTAGAGACCTTCTCACAGACCTTTGTGTTTTGGTGTCGAAGTTAGTAGAATCATTCAAAAGTAAAGGAAGAGAAATCCTCCAAGGACCTTACTTAGCTCATGCTGATCTGCATCCCGATTCAACGCGTTGAAATAGCTTGAAAACTAATCACAAACAGACTAACTTGGGAGTCGCAAATGCCAGGGGTCACTTCGCACCATACGCCCTTCGGCACTGAAAATTCCATCAGTGTGTTGGTCAACTCAATCGCTGTCTTCTCAGGAGGTAGCATATGAAAGTAAGATCCTCGATTTCCTTCACTACCATTCACTCGTCGTCCACCTAGGCAGAGACGAGTAGTTCAGCATCAATCCTTTGAAGTGAGAGACAGGAATTAAGGAACAAATGTATGTCCAAACGTGATTCACCTCATTGCTGTCAATGATTTTTCAGAAAACTAAGGAAATCTACATTGTTCAAAAGAACAATGTAGACTCAAAACGCATTCACACAGTTAAAAGGAGAGTTGATTAAAGAGCTCAAAACACAGAAACGATCATCTTACTGACGAACTGGCGATCTTGGCCCCTTCTTGTCTTTGGAAAGATTGTACGGGTTGTGATCGAAGAAATGCAGAAAGTTGTTTCCATGCCCACAGTCAAAGGAAAAATGACAGTAAAAGTCCAACATTTGTTGACTGGACGGCAAGCCTTACAAAGTATGAAGAGGAGCAAAACCTTTGCACACACCACATCTGGTCGCCCTCGACTTCCGCATTTAAGTAACTCACTAATCAACTTGAGTCCGCATTCAGAATGGCATTTGACTGGGATGTGATTTGCGGTAGCAGAAAATCCCTTCAACGGATGTCCTCAACCAGACGGTTCAATCAGGGTGGATGCATAGGGTTTGGGGAGCTTTATGCTCACTTGGCAGTGGCAGAAGCATTATCGTAACAATACAGCAAGTTCAGCATAATCAAGGGAACAGTTGCCTTCAAACGCGAACAGTGGCAAGAGGGCCCAATTGACAGGCAGGTAGTCAGGCAGAACCACATGCGGCTAGACCTAAACGTCCGCACTTCTGAAAGTCAACGTCTTGGGTGAAATCCTGTTTAGTCTATCTGCTTAATTATGCAAAGTCTGTACTAACTTCGTTTACTCTGTCCCATATTGCTGTAACTTTAGTTCTGCGACCTTAGTGAAAGAAAACTTTCAACTCTTTGCCTAAAAAAAACACATAAAAGCGTTAATTGCTAGACTTTAACGACATTCAGTAGGTTAAATAAATACAATTTAAGCGAGGGGAGGAAGGAGGATTGCTTTGCTTCTCCCCTCTGCCTCCAAGAGTAATTCACACAAAAAAGAGAAAGTAAGCAATCACCACAATGCAAAAGGGAGCTAACAGTCACTGTTTGTAATGCTTGTGCCTCTGTTCGGTACTGTGCGATGCGTCCCAGTCGAAATGGGACAGATGAGTAGACGACCTTCAGCTGCAAGATTTCCAGTTTCATTGAAATGAATTCCTCTTGCATCATCTTTTTCCTCTTACACAAAATACTGCCCAATGTGTCTTCAGGATCAGAAGTTAGTAGTGAACAATTCATGCCAAGCAATGAGAAAATTTATTTCTGCTTTTTAGCAATCCATATGCAATAGCGAGGCTGTTCGTGAAGAACTGCAGGACCCAGAGCTCATGGATAGTGTGTCAGTTCGAGAACTACGGATAGCCAATGAGGAAGTGCGGACCCACTTAGACACCATAAAGGAGTTGACTGCATCCCCACCCTCCCCCAAACCGGTATGGTGGATTGAGAGCTTTGCCTAAGTGTTGTTACAAGGATTCCTTGCCACCTTCTCATTCTTCCCAGTTGTAGGATTGGTGCTGCTTATTTATTTGTAAGCGATATGGATCAGAACTGATTTAATCTAAATTTGACATTGTGTTTTCATTTGGAGAAAGCTATTGACCGGGTGATAGCCTTCTATTAGGAAAAAACCTCAAAAATACATAAAATAGCAGTCCACGTGAATCCCTAAACTTGTTACCAGTTCGAAAATGCAATTACGAGAGACCAAAAGGTTCCAAGCAATATTAACTAAAAAAGGCGTTTTCAAATCTTCTCATTGTGATCCGAAATGAAGGATGTGAATCTACAAGATGCGTACGACGACTCAGAACCGGAGTTACCTCAATCCGACAGACCTTTCATCATTCGCAGATTAGAGGGGTGGCATTTCGTCAATCGTGTGCCCGAAATACGTCCCTACTACGGTACACTGGAGATTGGACTGAAGTTTGATCCTCTTCTGGGGAAGATTATAATTTCTGTAAGTTCTCTCAATCTCTTTTTTGAAGCGCAAAGTTGAACACCTTTCCAAGATCCTAGACTAAGTGTATTCAACTGGGCGGCAAGGACAGGGATTGTAATGATTATACTCCTTATTTGCGCATGAGTAGCACGAATCAAGGTGAAGTGTTTTGAAGGTCAATTTAGGGGACTAGTGTCGTCAGGATTGAAAGAAGGTCCCACAGTTCTCTCAATGTGAACCTCTACAGATTGGTGAGGCATTCAGTAAGGCTTAAAAGATCTACAAGCTTACACTCATCGTGATCGTAGATCTGTTCACACCTGAACTGCCATTCCATGGTGGTGGTAGACATGACTAACAAACATTGTCGGTTGTAGATCATCAAAGGCAAAGAAATGCACGCTCCAGACGGCAGTCTGATGCAGCTGTGGGTGAGTGTGCAACAGAAGACACGCATTTGCAAGAAGTCTTCACCTTTCTCGGCAATGGGATCAATGCGCTTGGGCTCCAAGTCAAATGCCTCACATAAAGATCCCGTAGCGATAACCGAGAAGGTGGGTAAACTCTACCGAACTTCGATACGGAGCGACACCGCTGAGCCGGTGTGGGACGATCGGTTCACATTTAACGTGCCCAAGGAACAGTTGGACATGGTCTTCTTTGACATCCTCATTCACGATCAAAAAGCTATAGTCGGAGGTCTGCGAATGGGTCACTCAGGGATGCATGTGGCATCGCACCATTGGGCCAACATGATCCAACGTCCTGGTATATGCATCACTTGCAGATACGTAGTGCAATAAAAATTTGATTTCACTTCTTGCTCCCTTCCCAATGGGTGGACATTCGTTTGGCGCATAAAGTGGACATCCCAAAGAATTGCGTCTAGACTGAATCTTTTCCCCCAGATTGATCTGTTTAGCACTCTCCGCAGATGGAGGCAGTGTATGAAAGGTAACCAGCAGTATGGCCATTAGCAGAGCACAGCCCTTGGCTTCCAGTTCCTTAGAGCACTACAGATGTGGCTGGTGTCATTTCCGTCTCTGTGAAAAATCTTGATATCTGTGCACCAATCACAATTACAGACACTAATGCTGATTGAAAGTCTCCGTCGGGGCTTTCAATACATGCTTCTTGGGTTTGTTGTTTGATCGTAAAAACGTTGTTGTGTTGAGCAAAACAAAGCTTAAGGCCCATCAATGCATCGACTAGGCGTTGTCAAAGAGCAAAGACCATGAAAATCCATACCAGTCGTGAGAATGACAAATGATATCTCCAATCCCTTTAAAAGACATTTATCAGAATGGTTTGATGAAGTTGAAGTGGACTTATGGCTAGTTTTTCGGTCTGAGGATTCATTGTCCCTTTTCAAAGTTAAATAGTGAGGGAGGAAGGGAGGAAAGTGGGGAGGGGAAAGACTGGGAAAATGTTTGCGACAGTCATCTTAGCCTTACAGTTTTCCCAGACCACTTTTCGAATTATTCAGATTCAAGGAGGCTGACGCCGTAAAAATAGGGACTTAGACTGGCAATTAGGCTGCAAATTTCCCAATTAACATTCGAGTAATAATGAAATCGGAGCCAGTGTCCAACCGTGACTGTACCGTATGCCTATTAAGCTAATTAGTGACGAAATCTCACCAAAGCAGAAATAAATGCTTTAGAAACTTTCTTTGCGATGCTTCGATTACGATCTCCAGGAGTGCCAGTGCTTCCACTGAAACCGAACGGGTGGACTAGGCAACATTCAACCTTTTCTATCAACAGAATGACAGTGACAAGGCACTCATAGCTTGTGAGCACACTACTTGACCGAACGCCAAGTTTTACTGTGTCCATAGCGAGATGAAGGTGTTCTTTTTTGCCCTTAGTTTTACTACGCCAACCAATGGAATGCTAGTTAAGTGCACGAATAGCAAGGATATGAAAACTGTCATTGTTCTCGGACCAAAGTAAGGTTGGTTCAAAAGTTGGTACTTGCATCTAAACGAAAGGATTCCACTCAGTCTCACGCGTAAAGGATGAAGCCCCTATCAGTAGAGCCAAGCTACTCCTAGCGAGACCAGGACCGAAAGTCTACAGCCCTCGCCATGATCTGTAGGAAAGGGGAGGAAGGAGAGAAGCACATAACCTACGATTAAGGCATCACATTAACTGTAAGCAAAAAAACTGCGAGTGAAGAAATTTGCAACATCGAACCTCACAGTTTGGTAGTCATTTAATGGTGCATGAACACGAATAGGCCCCAAATGAAACAAATAAGCAGTGAGAACTAAAAAAAAGTGCCTTTAAGGTCAAAAATATAGGAATGTGAGTTATTGGAGGCACATGCATTGACAACACTTTGTTTGGTTTTGGAATGCTGACCAAACAAAGCACAGCCACCTCTAAAGGGATACAAATCCTCCCAAAGTCAAATTGGCAAGCTGAAGTATAGTTTTCTGGCTATTTCTGAGGGCACTGCAACTTTCAAACTGCGCCCTATCCATAGGACTCTCGACTCGTGGAAATGAAATGGTATCGTTAAAGAGTGGAGTGGGCGGTAGATTGCTTGTGAGTTAAAGGTGAGTGATTGTACCACAAACCAATCAACTAGTGGTGTTATACCAAGTTTTCAAAACGCAAGTCAAATAAAGGGGAAGGATTAGAAAAAAAATACAGTCTTAGCGACTTTCACAACTCCTCCTTTCGAGTCAGTTAAGAGGCTTCAATCCCAGCTGCAAACAGCGATGACGTGGAGCCTTCGATTGTCTGAAATCAAACTGCTCTTAACCATTCGTGGGAAGTAGATTACTTTGCTACCGAAAGTTTCGCATAAAAACCCAGATCAACCACATTGCGTTGGATCATGAAGACGAGAGCGAAAAGATAGGAGGAATAACAGAGTTACCAGGCTAACTAACCAACAAAAGTTATGAATGACCAGAAACCGTACAACCTGAGGCACCAGACCTCGACGATTTGCAAAACATTTGAAACCTGTTCAAACAAACAAAAAAAAACGCTTCGAATTCGAATAACTTTCTTGACAAAGTAGGAATTCATGGCTTTGGGTTTCCCTGCGTGCAGGTGAAACGTTAAACAAGGAAATATTGACATCAAAATCACTTAAATTTATTCGTTAAAGCATCAAATCTTTTAAAGTAATGTCATCTCGTGTCAGCACCAGCATCATCGCAGCAACTCATTGGTCGTTCGGAGGAGGCTGTGACTGCGATTGCAGTGGATCCAAATCGCTAAAGATATTTGGATTCGCGGACAGACTGTCACGCGACTCCTTGTAGGCCTTATCAACAAAATCTCGCGCCTGGTAGTGGCGACGATTAGTCATTGCATTTGAAGATCCATTGGCATCGCCTTCAATCAGAGAGAGATTCACTAAATGCGAAGGCAAATCATCAAACACGCCGTTGCTTCCGCCTCCACCCTCTACCGCTGTTGCCGAAGAAGCCTCTGCTGGAGGCTGAACCTTCAAATTTTCTGTGGGCTAAACAGCGGAGCAAAAGAAAAACAGAACAGATGAGGATCAACGTTGATTCTCAATGACGTTTTGTTTGGTTATAGCTGTAAAGGGAAGAGAATCAGCGCAAGTCAAAGCAAACTAGGGGTACCATAGAGAAAAGCGCCATCAGAATGCACGCTTCACAGGGAAGAAAAACACTCCATGCACATGCACTTGCAGAGCCTGGACGAAGCTTCAAAAAACGTGAGAGCCAACGAACCTGCGGTTGAGTGGGATTAGGAATGGGGGCGAATCCAAGTGCTGACATCATTTCTGATAGTTGCAGAGGTCGATCAGAAAACAACGATGTAGTGAAATCTTGCGTCTCCACCCTTGATGCATCTGTGCAAATCGGCTTCGTTTGCCTCCCCTGTCCTAGCAATGCTGTGTTGTCACTGCTACTAGAGGGTTTTCGGGCGCTGCTTGATGACGGCCCGACGATAATATCTCTTCGAGCTAGAGACTGCTTAGCGGCCAGTCCGACCACAGCACATGTAGCTGCAAGCTGTTCGGGATGGCTATAAGCTCCTCGGCGCTGCTGACACAGGCATCCAACCAACTCGCTGACATCCCCAATACGCCCGAGAACTTCTGCTTGAAGTATGGCTGCTGATGCAGCAATGAACATACCTCCCAGACCTCCACCGTCTTCTGAGACCACCGCTATGGGATGCATGAGATTCCTCTGTTGTTTGTAAAACCCTATAGCTGTTTGGATGAATGCGGTGAATGAAGCAATAGAGTTAGGATCATTGAAAGTTGGCATTGATCCAGAGTAGCAGATATGGACAATTGTTCGAGTCTGTTGACTACTACAATTTCGTAAGGTCAGGATGCGTTCAATACAGGTGGACTGGGAAATTGAATCCACAGTGGGTGGATGCTGAGAGAGGGCGTCAGGACGGGTGAATTTCACAGCTTGAAGACGGAGTTCAAGTGTGGAAGCCCCGTTACCGGTTTGAAGCCGCGATCCAATTTTGAGCGGAGGGAGGTGAGGAGGGACTCTGAGTCCGTCTTCAGGGTCACCGTAAGCCCCTTCTGCATAACTTTCAGAAGGATCAAGACTGGAAGGAAGCAGAGAAGTTCTTCGACGGGGAGGAAGTGCAAGTACCACCAGTTCACAGGCCTGATCGAAAATCATACTCCAGAAATCTGTGACAGTGTTGGGGAGGGGAGCCTGCGTTAGAATGTATCGTGGACACCATTCACCGAGGGAGGATGCTAAGTCCAAATGACTAGCATTTATGTAATCGTCTTTATTGCTGAGAGCATCATATTTCAATTGAATGCGATTGAAATCGTAGGGAATACACTCTTGACGACGATTTTTTGCCGCGCTGCAGCGACCAACAGCCTGCGTTGGTCGTTTGCTAGGTATATTGGCCGCAATTTCCTTCACTCGTGACCATGCCTGATCGAGGCGACTAACTGGCCGTGACAATGATGATAATGGTGGGTTAAATGGTTCAATATCACCTTGACATGGTTCATTCATAGTCTCTAGCCAAGTGAGGAGACGCTCTGTAGCGTCGATAAATCGGTTTAGTGCGAGGGGATCAGACAGCTGATCGAAATGCGGGTTTGACGTGTTGGCAGCCGTGGCGTTTGAAGTGACCTCCCCACTACTCTTAGTTGTGGCAGCGTCAACATGACTAGACCCCGGTACCTCGTAGGTTGCTCGCAGCTGCTTTTCTCGCCTCTGAAGCTCTAGATCTGCCTAAAATGTACACCCAGACAGTGCAAGCAATAGGCAACTATGCCCGAGCATTAGAGGTGGGGAGCCACAGTTGATTAGGATTAATTTAGGCAAGGGACATCAAAATTGAAAAGATATTCATCGAAATTGGCTAGAAACCACTGGATTCGCACCAATGAATTAGTAATCATTTAGTTTCATGTTAAAGCCAAGAGGCATGGTTATTATGAGGCGTCTATTAAGGTATGCAAGCAGAATGAAGCGCGATTCGACTATGGCTACATCGACTTTCAAGCTCTTGCTATTTCTATGACGAAAACCCTTCAGCAGCTACTGTGCATCCGTAATAGCGTTGCTTTTAGCACAAATGCCAATTCTGTTGGTTGGATGTCGCACTTTAGGTCCATTAAAGACCACAAAGTCCCATGACGCATGATGAAAGGGCCACTGAAACTAGCAAAACTTTGAAGCTTGTATATTACCTAGAATTTGAACTAGACAATGTTTGAATGATCTAAAATTGTCAAGAAATTGTGCTGGTTGCCATGGAGAACAATTATACGAGGCAAAATCAGAGGAGATCAACCTCAATATAGCCCTTTTCACAAGCCGACTACACCAAGCTTTGCAATACTAACGATACGCGTGGGTCGGATTTGCGGAAGTAAGGGTACCCAAGTGGTTAACCAGATCTGAGACAAAAAGTGTTTGGCAATCACCTTCAATGACAATGTACCATTTCCACTGACTGACCTGAGTGAGGATATGAGGAGAGATTGGTGTCTCTCCGAGATCCGTTGAGGCACCAACAACCGCTTCGTCCACGTCAGAACCTTCCCCTTCTCCCAACGATGAAACTGGATTAGGCACATATCCTGCTACTCCTGATGAGGACATCTTAGTCGGAGGAGCAGACGATGAAGCCGCCGGCTGTGAGGTTGATGAGCCAGCAAATGGAACAGCGTTATATGGAGCCACAGGAACATGTTCAGAGGATTGATGTTGATTTGAGTTCTGCACAGCTGCTGGCAATTGATTGGAGAGTATGTTCTTATTCTGATTATAAGAACTGTGGTTGGACGACACGCCTTGTTGATAGCCACAAGGAGAAGTGTGGGAGTATTGAGGTGCTCCATAGCACTGCTGCGGGACTGGAGCAACGTTCTCAGGCTGTTGGACACGTTGGACAGACATCCCTCGAGGATACTGCTGTCCATAAGAGGGCTGTTCCTGAAGTGGTGCTCTAAAAAGCACTCCCCTCTGAGCATAAGAAGGAGAAGTCTGAGTCGGATTTGGAGAAATAAACTGCTTTGAAATCATTTGCTGATTAGGCAGTCCGGATTGAACACCAGATAGTGGATTCTGAAGCGGTTGTAGGCCAGATTGAGTCGATAAGTAAGGCTGAACAGATGCTGAAGACCCATGCTGTTGTTGATTTAACGCTCCTGTTGCAACTGGTCTAACTCCAGCCGGTTGAATCTGCATCGGTCGGATAGGGGAGTAGGTCTGGCTTGGAGCTAAAGTTCCATATTGTTGCTGATATGGGGCCACCGGAATAGCTGGATTAGCTCCAGGCAGTAGATTCTGAGTCAGTTGCTGACTTGGTTGGACGCCCGGAGTTGGGGTTCTACATTGTTGGTAGCTCGGCACTCCCGGGGCAGCTGGTTGGACACCAGAATTTGGAATTTGAATAGGTTGTTGACCTAGTTGAGTAGGAGCTTGAGATGGAATCAAAGCTCTATATTGTTGCTGACTTGATATTCCCGAAACTGGTGGATGAACGCCGGGTAGTGGAATCTGCATCTGCTTTTGGCCTGTTTGAGGTGATTGGTAGGATTGGACTGCAGGAGTTTGAGGTCTATATTGGTTTGAAATCAACGGGTGGGCTCCTGGTGGCAGATTTTGATTCGTTTGTGTCATCCATTGACTCTGTGAAATTGGCAATCGTGAGATTTGTTGGAACCCAGAGATTGGATACCGCAGAACTGGATGCTGCATTGCCATAGGTGATTGAGGGGTGTACTGGGGAACCAAAGGGGGATGTTGTTGTTGATAAATAAAGGCAGGTGATTGTTGCTGTTGCTGCTGAGGCTGTTGCGTAAGTGGGACTAGTGTACCAGATGGATACTGAATGTTTGCCAAGTACGGACTTTGGTAGCAAGGCCTAGAGTACAGCTGTTGCGCCGGCGTTGAACATGGGAGCCTACTTTGACCCTGTGGTATGTTGGCCTGGGATTGGGTAACTGCAAATGGTGCCGCAGACGGTTGTGACTAGGTTTAAGAGCACACAGCATCCACACGTGATTTATCAAAGTGCGCGCAAAGTATTTCCAAAGAGATAAACGAAATAAAAAGAAACTACCAAGAAAAGGGCAAATCACTGTTTAGACCAACGAGTATAGGTACTTGCATCACGAATTGACTTAGCAAATATGGTTAAAATCTTGTACGATTGTAAAAGACAAACGATTGCGACTTCTGCGATGTTCCTACAACCATGAAGCTCTACATCAGTGTTGGCGGAACCTGATTAAAGCGACTTGAGCTTATGTGCTCCATCAATTTGTGTTAATTGGATCGCAAAACCTTAGATGCGTTAGACAAAGTTTATGATCCAGCATTTAACGAAAGTGCGGCAACAGAACAAACCCCAAAGAATATGTCTCGGATCCTGAATAACTTGGAGCTAAATAAAGGGTAATTGTGAAGAATCCCTGTTTTTGGCTAGCGAAGAGTGATGACCTTGGTTTGCAAAAACAAAAACGCTTGTAAAAATGGAAAGTCAAGAAAGATTGACTACACCTTACGTATGAAACTTATCGCACTAGAGATTAGTTTAACAAGTGCTATATCTTACATGATCCGCAAAAGATCAATGGGCTATCACTTGAATTGCTTCGGCGACTCGAGCACCCTACCATCATGATCGTGGTCCAAAAGGAGTATCCCAGTTACTACTGCACAATCGCAGCTTAACGAAATGACAAAATGACCTACTAACGTGCGTTCAGTAGCACATAAGTCAGGGGAACAGAACACTCACCTGTAAGCAATAATGCTAAAAAAATTTTGCCTAATTAATTTTTTATTGGCACCATAAAAGTAAAACACTGCCTAATTTGAAGCTATCATTGTCTATGTGAAGAAACTAAAGGCATACCTTCCGATCAATTCGAAAAAAAAAATAAATAGACACGAAAAACATCGCCAATTGCTATTTCTGCTACTTACTAGTTTACAAAATATACAAAACAAAGCTGTAAACCTAGATAGACGATACTTTTAATGCAAAGCAATTACCGGTCTCGATGTTTTGACATTCTGCTGTTGTGCAGATGCCTGCATCACTTGGGTAGGAATGAAAGGACCGAATGACGTGGATTTGAATTCGCCTGGTGAACCACGAGCTCGCAGCACATCCCGAAGGGTGAGCGGACCAGCTGAGGCTGAGTTTTCCTGAGCTACCGTTGTAAATAAGGATAATACAATGCAATTGAAGATCCAACCGTTTTGATCGAAAAATTTCAAGAGTTAAAGAGGGAGCAGTCATAGGAATGCTAGAGGGTAGATGTCACAAGAACGGATCAAGTTTTAGTAGTTGTAACCCTCATCAAACTTTTAGAAAATACCGCTTCATTTACCCGAACCAGGTTGGACAGAAGTGAACGCAGACTGAGTGGGTGCTGTTGGCTGATTGACCTGCTTTGGCTCCAGACATACAATGGAGCTATTGATCTCTTCCAGCTCAGAGCGCAGTGTCTGAAGACGCTCGCCAATGTCACGGTAGAACGCCTGCCCCTCACCGCACTTCAAAAGTAGATCATCGTACGCCTCAGCAGACCGGATAAGAGCATCGATCTCCTCGGTGCGTCTGTAAATGGAGTAGAAAATGTCGAGATAAGGAAATGGCACTTGCTTCCCCTTCACAGAATCAATGAAAGTCATGAAGCTCAAGATCAACGCACTGACGTCTGCGCTCTAGGACGTCGTGTTTCTTCACACCGACCTCTGCATGTGCTGCAATAAGAGCCCTAGTGATGTTCTCTTGTGCAGCCAAATTGAGATGAAGGAGTTTAACTGCCTCCTGATGCGCATCTAAACGACGTTGGAAGATGGCACTGTGCGTAGAGGGATCGGCTGCAGCAAGGAGCTCTTGAGTCGCATCATCTGCTTGCAGAGCGCAACGAAGGTCCTCTAGCATCTTGGTACGTTGTGCCCTCATCTCCTCCACCTTCGAGAGAATTCGAGCTGCCTCGTCTAGCCCCTCTAGCAGTTCTGTATCTGAAACATTTCACAAAAATAATCATGGTTTGAAGGTACGGTACCAATAAAACGCGAGACTTTCAACACCTCACTAAAAAAAGTTTTGGCGATAAGCATATCACAATGCCTGAAGCAATGTTTACAGCATCTCGCAAAAAAAGGATTGAGCTCTCCGTAGCCATTACTCAAGCATTTGGATAAAAACAACGGAGAAAAGCTACCAACCAGTGATAAGGTCATTTGCGTTGGGTAAACCGGCTTCAATTTCATCTGGTAAGAGAGTGAGTGTGTGTAGAGCCTTCAGATTCTCCGTAAGAGCCTCATGTAATCGCATGTTTGAGTTTTTGGCTTCGGCCGCTGCAAGAGCGAATTTCTCCTGACGCTCAGCCACTTTTGCCAATTTCTCTTTCAGTGGGTCCGTCTTGAAGGCCGGGGCTATGGACTACACAAGAGGTAATGTCTACTGAAAAAAGTGTTAGTAAAAAAACGAGGAGAATTTTCCTATTCCTTGCATGCGAAATGGTTTCCTAAATATGCACCAAAACAATTAACATCTACTATTAAATGTCTGTGCCGTTTACGAAGCTATTAGACCATGATACACCCAAATTATTGCGAATATATAAAGAAAGGGTTGCGCTTACCAGAACTCCGTTGAGACGAACTCGGGTGGCTTGAATCCTGGTAGAGAGTTCCTCCAAATCGGCCTCCACATCAACACTCACATCAACCAGAGCTAAAGCGAATAAGAAGAGGAACGTATTGGAGAAGAATCTTAACCTTATCAAAAGGACCAAGACATCTCCCTATGAAATGTGGAGGAGTAATACAGTCAAGATAAAAAGAGTTCATATTGGCTTTCAAGGCCTATTTTCCACTCAGGCCAGATATTGCCTTGACAAGAATGGTGGGGCACGCCCTACATCGTTCACACGATGTGAACAATGTGACGCCTTCGATAAAGAAGCAGAAGAGGTTTGCACTTAAACGGATCATCTGACTGTGGAGCAAAAGACAGCATAGAAGGGAGTGGCAAATAAACGACTGTAGCTAAGGCGACTATACGATAGAGACAAAGAAAACATCTTAATCTCGCGTAGGAATAAAAAGGCTTCCTTAAATAAAAGTTTTCAGTTTGATAAAATGCCTGATACGTGTAAACCATGAATAGCTGGTGGTATAAGGGAACCAGTATTTCACCACATTGAAAGGATTTGAAAAGCAGCCAGATAAACGGATAGACAAAGCCAAAATGGTAAAGGCAGAGTAGAAATGGACCTGATGTCTTAAAGCAACTTCAAGGAGATTCTCTCGCGCTCAATGGGATTGGCATAATAATGCTGTCCATCAACGAATGCGGACAAACTTCAGACAGCGCGCTAAAAATGTCCTCTTTCAATGATAGGTGACGAAGCCGCTACTTCTTGTGCCTAGAATACCTTAAGCTGATGCGAAAAAAGCATCGCACAATCACAAGGCCTTGCTGATAAAATAGACCTGCAGTCCAAGCCACAACGTGATGATGTAGCCCATTTTGGTCTCTCAGCCCTCCGATTTGTAACAGTGCAACCTCCGAAGTAGCCCGGAGCTAATGCAGAAGTAACTCAGGCGTTACCACATCCAAAAAAGCCTGTCGAGCTGCACAACAGAAGGATCAGTGAAGCATTAGAAGCGTTTCAGAAATCAAATCGAAGGTTGCGAATAATTTGCATTGTGTAAAACAGAAGTTGTAGTGGAGAACTTCCAAACCAGTTTTTTTTGCGCGAATGCAGACAACACCAAACCATGCATCACGATCATAATCCTTCATTCCTGAGGAAAGTTTTACAATCGAATTCCAAAAAGACACCTTGAATTAAAAACTGTAGTCAGTCTACTTGAATGAAAATTTCATGCAACTAATTACCAGAGATGTGTTACATCAGTTTGGTAAAATGCTATATCCTGTTGGCGATTTAATCGAAGTGGATTCGCACTGAGATCCCTTCAACAGGGCCTAAGGTGACAGTCATCTGTTCCTCAATCAGTGGGTAGAACAGTCCGACTTGGGCCTAGCTTTATGGTACAAAGAGGATAGAAATTCAGATATTTCCACCGGGAAAATGAAGAAAGGGCCAACATACGATCAACAATGAGACCGTAGACAACTCACCAGACATTTGAGCAGAGAGTTCACTCTCTGGTGACCGATCTAAAGCATTGAATTTGGCACAGTGGTCAAGCAGCGCTTGAGGCAGACCTGAATCCTGTTTAAGCAGCCCCTTGGGGTCCAGATTAAGGCTCGAGAGAAGAGAACTGCAAACGTGAAAAGAGCATAAAGGCAATAGCACATCTTATTCCCCTATAATGGGGCTGGCTACGCCTGGGGAGCAGACCTACCCTAGTTCCGAATCCTTCTCTTCTACTTCTGTTAAGATTTTTCGAAGGAAATCAGCTTTCATTTCACTAAAACGCCAAAACATTAATGAATTATACTTGAGGCTATCTGTCAAGGATGAGCAATGAATACCATAAAACCAAAAGCAGAAGTCGAAACTATTCATTTACCGGGTTTAAGACTACAACAGATTAAGTAAAGGCAATATGAATTCGATAGTAAATCTTAGTAATACAAACCTGTAGATAGAACTGGCTTCCAATGTTTCAATTGGAAGCAGATCCTTGAAGATGTCCTCACCAATAACGTCAGGATCCGTGTGATTAAAAGGCGTTGGCTTGGCCAAACAGCTACCTAAAATAGTATTAAAAATGGATACGACCAACGGGAGAAAGTAAAAAAAAATGGTGCAACCATCGTCGCGGTAAGTCACTTTTGGGTAGTTCCTTGATACCTTACTAGAAAATGAGTGATTCGTTTGAAGCTCACCCTCAATTTTCTCTAGATCCTCAAGTGGAGGCACGCGTTCATGGTAGATTTGACTGTTATCTTTGACAGCGCTGGCACAACTGAAATGAAACGCCAAAAAGGTTGTGACAACTATGTAGAGAAATGCACAAACCGGAAGGAGAGCACTAAACGATTTATTCTCACCTGCTGATGATGAGTTCACGAACAAATTGGATGGTATTTATCATATTCTGAGCCGTCTGAGGTTCCATAGAGTCGGTGAGAGTTTTGGCAACACGCCAGGCTTCCTCAATGTTGGATTGGGCTGACTTGTAGTGAGCCACAGAGATGCCAAACTTCATTTCAGCTGCGTTATCACTTGCCACAAAGAAATCGACCAGACTGGCATAGTAAGACTTCTTTACCGACAAGACTCGTGTCCAATCCTGTGGTTAAATAAAAGGTGACGAGTAGCCAGGCTACCAATCTTGATGCACATACATGAAGTCATGTGAGATCACCCTTTCACGACATCAAGCCAATAAACAGATTCCAAGGTTCAAAATTAAGTTATTGAGATGCATATAAGGTGTCTAAATTATAATTAAGAAATACAGAAGGGCTTAATAGCTTTGGACGACCAGCCTCCACTGCGAGTGACGTGACGGACTACTCACACAAATAAGTTATATAGGAAGAGAAAGAACCTCCCGAGGCTGAAAGAAGCAAAATGTGCCTCCTTCATTTAGCATAAAACAATTTTTAGTCATCATAAGGAAAGTGGAAGGAGGGCAACTCGAGCTATGGGGAAGAGTGTACGAAAAGTACCTAAAATTCCTCTAGGCATTAACAGGAGCATGTGATTGGTGCTATTGAGAAATAACAGAGACAAAAAGCAGTTTTGCTGTATGAAATTGCAGCTCTCATATCTGTAAAACCTGTAGCGCATGCTTTTGTACTTTGACGTTAGCATTCTTTCCAGAAAATTAACACCACAAACCTTGCGAAACCGAGGAGGTATAGAATCACCGAGGGCGTTCGCCATAGAGAAGCACCGATCGTAAGATTCAGCCAGGTACTTGGACAGCTTTGCAGTGATATTAGGTGGCCTACTGTCCGCAATTGACTTTTCTACTATGCATTCCTGAGCCTGGTTCTAGAGGAAAAAAAATGCATGGGAAATCGCCAATAAAAGTGGGTAGAATACTAATAACAAGCTTGAAAAACAGGATACTACCCAACTATCAACCATAGCTGATGCTAAATGCTTTGAAATATCACATACAGCGTTTGATCCCGCAGCAAAAACGGAAAGTGATCGCAAACTACCCCCATTCTACAAATACTGCAATAAAAAACCAGGCTAAAGAGCTTAAATTTAACACAGCTGGATAACTTCCGCCATTGTTGGACTGCCCATTTTGGGTGAGGGTAAAAAAATCGACATGCAAACAGAGGTTCCGGTCACGCCCACCATTGTGGTGTGCTATTCAAGTGTTTACCCAAATCCAAGCCCAGAGAAAAACACAGACATGAACTGAAGAGTGGACCAATGCTGGGCCCAATTAACCCCAAGTTGACCAAGTATATCTTAACTAAATGCAATTCGAAGGTAACCTAGTGGGCAGTACCATAATTACAGACTGAAGGAAAAGCCGGAACTGATAATGAAAGTTGTGACAAAGTAAGGAACTTCCATAATATCACATACCAAAGAAATGATACTGTATAAGTGAAACAGATCACCCGACATGTCATCAGCATCAGAAAATGAACCATAACGCTCTCGAAGAGTCTGAAAAACCCATGCTGCACACTGGAAGTGAGTACATGCGATCTTCATGCTCTACAAGTAATGCGTGGAACAAAATTACATCCCAAAAATAAATGGAATGACGGCAAACAATTAGAATAGCTTACATCTGGATCAGCACGAGATTCCTTCCGACCAAGAAGAGAGTGTGCAGCTCCTAACCCATAGAGAATGGCGGCCTCCTCATAGGTAATTTCCGTTCGGACGAACTGTGTCTGATTAAAGGCATCCTGCCTGAAATTTACAAGAAAAGTATTAATGGAGAGCACAGTCTAAGTACGAAGCTTCGTGTCCAGAGCAGACAACGAATTCATGCACCACCAGGACTAATACGCACCAGGGCCACTCGACCAGTTTGGGAACGGTAAGATCGATCCGATTTTTTAGCAGTAACAACTGTGCATAATACCGTTTTATGGAGGCCAAAGACCTCTCATCATTCGGGTACTTGCAACATTCCTATGATATTCATGGTGTTAAATGACATCATACCGTCCGGAGTGAAAGAAAACTATGAAACATATTTTCATCAATGAAAATTTGATTTCCATAGCACTTTTTGATTTTCTAGAAAAAAGGCAAACAATAACAAAGTTGAACAAACTTTTTTAATGGGTGAAATATCCGGCGCTACCGGACTAGACTTCAGAGGAATAATAAACATCGGAATTCTAGGAGAATTATCCATTTCCCAAAAATATTTTTAAAATTGTGCCTCTCTACGGGGTGTGTACAAACAACGAAGTGATTGCATGAATTAATACCGATTGCTATACAAAGTTCTATACAATTTAATGTTGTAAATTCACAAGCCACTATAAACTTTAAATATTAAAGTAAAAAACTTAGTTTTGAAGCCTTCGATACATACACTTTGCCATCGCTAAAGAGGTCTAGGCTTAGCCCGCTGCAATCATCTATTTCTGTTTAAGGATTGGCATGGAAGACGACTCCTCAAATGTGAAAGCAGAACTGAAAATACACCCAGATCTTGGGAAGGGTTTTGTAGAACCCCACGCACACGGACACGACTGGTTCTGAACAGATAGTACCCATCGCAAGGCAGTACAGCAATAGACCTCGAGATGCCCCACCATCCCACCACATCTGTGAAACGCCCGCACCTGTAGGAAGTGAAACTCCAAACATGGTGGCACTGCCAGGACATACTAGGGCTGGACCGACACAAGTTGACATATCTAGAACTTCTGGCACATCCCATTCCCAGCAAGTAAAAGCCATTCAAACCCAAAAAATGTTTTCTTCAAGAAAAACTAGAAAGCTACCAAAAATGCTCCATGAAAATACGCAAAATACTGACCTAAGCATGGTATAAAAGGCAACCGAAGGAAAGTAAAACATAAGAAATTAAACATGCACTGCCGACAGAGAAGGGGGTTGAATAATGCTTAAGGGACCTTGGACGCAGAAAGAACTATTGATGGAACCACAACAATCCGCGCATTCATTGTGGTACATGGAGAATGTCCTCATCACCAGCCGCACGGTTGCTATCATCTGATCGAAAGAATAGTTCGTTTTCCGACTCCTAAAAAGGCAGAGATAACACTTTTTATAAAGCCACAATGGAAACTTCTGGGTGAGAACAAGGGAATTTGGAAAATGGAGAGGAACCGAGTCCTAGTGCGCGAAAAACTAAGTCATTCTACTGCGGTTAGAGGAACCATAAGCATTGCTTCTGGTGAAGAGAAGAACGTTAAGAAAAAAGGGGAAAGCCCAGGTTAGGAAGTCATTGATGTGGAAAATTACATCAATAGGACTCTTATCATCAACCGTGACAGATGTATAGGCTTCCATGGGGATGTCCTCGACGGCAGGATTCTTCTGACAAATAAATTTCTAACAATATAAAATGTTTAGTTGGTCAGAAAAGACGCCCACATAAAAGCACAAATAGCAAAAGAAATGCAGGCAATGAGGTTGACAAATTGTGCTTTAGTCTGGTCACAGAGCCCCACGATGCATCAAGGTAAGTAAATGTTGAGCCTATTGTAAAACACTGCTTTTGAGTTGGACCCGAGAAATAATAAAAACAACTGAAGAACTCACGTTGCAATGGCATTTTACATCCTGTCGAATGGCAAAAAAGGCCTGCAAACAGAAATAACATGACATTGTATTATTCTAATATGCCAGCAATGCAGTAATCTCAGTCTCCTGCCATTCCATCTCATCCACTCCTTCCGGTGATTCAGCAATGAAGTAATTTCGAACCCCTCCTCACCACATCTTTGCTGGCACTTCGAAAAAGGTTCGTGCTTAAAGAGACAGCTAAATTTTACGACATAAAGGTGATTGCTGTGGATCGATGCATTTCTACTGGTAGCCGGTAATAAACCCAAAAACTATGGAACGTATGCATGTGACCCTAGGATCCGATGGATTGACACACTGTGAGGAGCCCGAAAAGAGATTTTGAATGATGACTAAGAGACGGTGAAAAGTTCTGAGACACTCCAGCATTTTGCGGACTAAAAAATAGTCGTTCATTTCGGGCAAATGGGACTAGTGACAGGGAGCAGGCAAAAAACTCTCAAAAGCGAGGACGTGACAAATGGGGTCTGTGAGAAGTTCACGAAGCTAATTTTTATTCTTGCAAATAGAGATTTGACAGCCAAAGAGAGCTGATCACACAAAGTAGGGCATAAAGGATGCAACAAAAACACAAAGTATGAAATATATCAGCAACACGACACTTAAGTAAGCACTTCAGTAGCATGAGTAGAGGTGGATATCTTACCAAGTAGGCGATGAAGGAGAGGTAGATAGCAAATATGGCGCCAACTCCAATATAGGCCGCAAGGTGATTTACCAATCGTGATTTGAAAAATATCACCACGAAAAAGAAGTTGACCGCAATCACAACCAGTGAAATCAGTGTGGATATCACTTTCGAGAGTCTAAAAACAGGTAAGAGCAATGAAACGATTTGGCTGCTAATCCCCACATTAGAATGCCTGGAATGAGATAAGTAGAGGATAAGGAAAATGCGTTACTTTATTTTCCGTACCCATTCCATCTTGCACGTTAAAACGCCCATAACACACTTGAGGTAGATAGGCATCTCAAACTTGGCCAGAAAAAGACCGAAAACCTTAGAGAATAACTAAAGACCCTCCTCAAGCTCCCTAAAGTCTACCAACAAGAGATGCAATTCTTTGCCGCCTTCCCTGACTACGAACGGCCTACGACTGGCATCCATGCCGTTCGAAACGCGAATCGGAACAGTTAGTCATCATGAGCCCGTAGGGACACGTGGCATATGTAGGCCGGTGAATGTGACGTCGGATTTTACGCTTTACCTAGGAGAAGGAACTTTCGAATGTACGACAAAGCAACACCCCGTAAAATCGGCAAGTCATAAAGTGCCAGAGTCAATTCGACAGCCAAATAACAGCAGTGACGATTATCAAGGTTGCACTTTAATCAGTACATTTTCACGCATCCACACACATGATTAGGTGATAAAAGGAGCGCAATCTGACAACAGGGACAGGAGGCACTGACTTTAAGTTATAATCATAGCAACGTAACCTTGCAGGTCAGAGGAGCATAAACTTCGATGAGGGTGCTTCAACTTACAGCGAGTTGACAAATGGTCCCATGATTACACTTGAGTTGGTGAAGGTAAGCAAGGGAATCACAGCAAAGGGCAGTTGGACACTCATCAAAACATTCAGCAAATCATTCATCTCGGTCAAATTTTCAATGCCTAAATCGAACGAAAAAGTCATGCAAAATTATGGTCTCATTATAGCGAGGTTTACTGAGTTGTATGTCAAGCCTCAACTGACTGCTAAAAGAACAAGTCCGTAAGAGGCTGCGCACCCAGCAGGAGTAATAAAAACACGAGAAACAGAAGTTTGCAAGAAGATGAACCAAGGTGGAGGTGGAACAAGGACTCAATAGGGTAGATTGATGAAAATTCTTGTGAAATTCGAAGGCATCCATTCCTTCAAGGGCACTACTTTTGATGTAGATTTTCGGCAAGATACTCATTTGCACCACATTCTATAGAGGTCATCCTAAGCACCTGACCTTCAGACATGATATGAATGCTGCCCTGTGTTAGTAAAGAGGTTTAAATAGGACATCAATCCCTCTTCTAGATGGTGTAACTATGCATTGGGAGGCCTGAAAGACCCATTTCACTCCGAGGTCAAACTAAAAAGCCAAAGTAAGTGACTAAAAACCCAGCATCAACGAAACCTCTCCACTTCAGGAACCCTCTATAGGGTAAAACTCATGTATGCCTCTTCCAAACTCCAAAGTTCAAACTTTAATCCCTTCAATAATCTAGGAAGAAGGAAGGAGGCAAAAAGGGCTGACACACCTTCGAAAAATGTCACAAAGAGAGTAGGCAAAATGGCGATAGACCGGGTAACAAGAAGCCGCTGCCACTGTTTCCATCGAAGATTGAGGAATCCCTCCATCGCATATTGACCGGCGTAAGTACCAGTCATGGTGGACGACTGACCAGCTGCCAACAGGCCCACCGCCCACACGTAGAGCGCAGCGATTCCAAATTCACAGCCCAGAAAGACGCCCTATCAAGTAGAGGATGCTTGAAGTACTAATTTAATCGAGGAAAGCGTTTTAGATGTGGGAGGCTTACCCCCAAATAGAGGTCGACTTGGGTTGGATCAAATTTCCGTGCAGTTTCGAGAAAGGCTTCGGGTATTGTCTGCCTTGTAGAACAGTTGTTGATCTAACTTTGGAAGACAGGATATACAGTGAATTGATAACTTATTAAAGAGTTATTTAATCCGATCAAATAGGTGTTTTGTTGAAGTGTTTGATTTGTTGCATGATAAATACCAAAAAAGGACGCACAACATCTACGATATTTTTTCCATAGAATCCTTCGCTGAAAACGGCAACAACGAAGACGTTAATCACGAGAGAGACGCCAAGAGCAACACAAGCCTCGATGAAGAAGTAGAAATTTGCAATCGCGATCTGACAAGAAAAGAAAAGGCGAAATGGTGCAAAAAACTGCCACATGTAAGTCCTGACATGTCGCTGCGTGCGTCATTCACACTTACAGGCAATAGTATAGTGCAGATAATAATGCTGCAGTGCCTTTGAACAGGTCGCGGTAGATTAATTAGCATAAGACAGGTTATATTTTCTTGTGGTGAATGTACCGATTAGTTGCCATTGTGATAAAAAAAATGTCGTCTTGCGTTTACAAGATTAAGCAAGTTGCTCCAAACGAACGAAGTTTAATAAGAGAATTCGAAATAACATCCCAGCCTGGATTTTACGCAATAATTTTGTCTACACTCATCCTGCATTACAGTGAAAGGAAAGAAATTAAAATTAATCAAAAAAGAAATCCAAACATACACATCTCCTTTGAGAGGTTTTGGTAGGGAAAACATGACCGAAATTCATAAAAATTAACTCACTGAACGATTAGATTTTCGATTGACGTCGCGAGATTTCACCAAAGCAGAATGGAGGTAAAAGTTGTGCGGCATAATGATGGCCCCGATTATGCCAACTGCTTGTTCCAGCTCTGGCCAGCCGCAGTTGGAACAGGAAGGCAAAAAGAAGCCACGAAGTACGCTCGCCTGATTTGGTGCAACTACTATATACTAAAAAAGGTAATGCGCATTTCAAACGGACTTGTCCGCGTGGGCCTTTAAAAGCCCACATAAGCTAAAGGCATACTCGAGACGTGGGAGTGTTTATCGGTAAGAGTGATGTATTTAGTCCTTATGTATGCACAACTAACAAGCCAACTTAAAAATACCCACGTCTTGTAATGTTACATAACACCATATTAAACACGAAAATTAAAAGGGAAGTTGATCATAGGATTAGATTGACAGTTAAACGACCTTATAACCAAAATAAATCCAAAATCTAAAATCTTGCCTCGTATCCGAAGGTTATAGCCATGACGGAGATGAGGAAACCAAAAAATAACTCCAATTTACGAAGACCGTAGTTGTCAATGAGGAGAAATGTGAATGTGTCCAAAATGGTTATAAGGACGCCACCCCATAGAGGTACCTTCCCCATGCTAAGGATATTAATGGCGATTGAGGTACCAATGACCTCCTATATTCAAAAACCGAGAAGTATTTTAGAATGAGAAAGTTCAATTGGAATAATAAGAGAGCCGGAAACTTGCCTGCATGTCGGAACCGATAATAGCGATTTCAACCATTAGCCAAAGAATGATGCGGGCAGGTCTGGGGTAATTCTCATAGCATATTTCAGCTAGGTGCTTCCCAGTAACAACTCCAATACGTGCCGCCAGTCTTTGCATGAAGAGACCCATTATTGTTGCTAGAAAAAGCAACCACAACAACTGCAAAGGGCCCATACGTAAAACTTCGACAAACACTTACACGGTAATTTGCCACTGCACCACTCTGTAGATCTGACTCGATATTACCAGGATCCAAATAGGCAATGCTCATCAGAAAGCCAGGACCCGTGTAGGCCCATAGCGTACGGCAGCTGAAATTTCGCCAAGCCTAAAAAATGAAAGTACCAATGGAGCCTGATATGTGAAAGAAATAGAGAGCGGTTTCTGCTTACACTTGGGACTTTTTCGTTATTACCTCTCCAGGGACGAAGTAGTGACGAATCATTTTTGCGTTTTTTTGAATCAGAGTCTACAGCTCTTACTTGAGTTTCATCCTCAAGTAGAGGATGTGAATCATCAAGACCTACCATTTAGAAAAGTTCTTCACGCAACTTACTATAATTACTGTAGGCCAAATGCATAGCTAAAAGGGCCAATTAAGGGAGCAAACGAGGGTGCAATGAATAACAGGCTAACTTCGACACGTAGGCTCAACCGGGAAAAGGTTCAGCAAATGAGGATGGCAGAGGTTGTGTCAAAAGTTTTCGATGTATACAGGAAGTAAATAAGGAATGATTAAAGGATAGAACTACATAGATAAGTCCTGATAAGAACCTCTAAACGACATGCCTTAAATGATAAAATTTGGAGTTGCATAAACTCCTAATCAATAACAAGATTTCAAAAAAAATACCTCAGTTGTGGCAGTTTGTGGCACAAATCTTTTAAAATAGATTAATTTTAAGTTTTAGTAACGACTACTTTACGCCATTACATAATGATTTAAGTGATGGCAGACTTAAGCCGAAGCATCTTCATAGTGATATAGTGTCGCTCCTCGGATGTTTTGGTTATAAAGTTTAAGTGTTGGGTATGATAACTCATATTTAATTGAATATTTATGTGCAACTCGAATTGTCAGCGTAAATTTCAAACGGCGCTGAGTGCCCGCTTGACCGTTCCATTTCGTAAGATTGATTCTACCCATGAGCTAGCGTTGAAATGGAGAAATCAAATCCAACGGTGGAGGGGCTCTTCGTTTGTTCAAACTGCCAGTTTAGTGTGAAGTTTGATGATAAAGGCTCACGTTCGCGTTACCTTAGGCCAGATATAATGTAATATTGACATAGAGACAACTTTTAGTCTTCTCGAAGATGCCTACGTATTGCGCGATCCCTTTGTTGACGGCGGATCTGGAGGAATCGTCATAGGTGCCGATTGTTGTCTATGCAGCGCGAGTGTTTGCGTCTCCCCTGTAGGGTGCTTCAACGTAAATTTATGGAGTTAGGAATGTTCGTTCTTCTACTCGAAAAGGTACTGCAGAGGTTGCGCAGTCAAGAACTTGGACCGATTCCCGAAGGAGATTCACAAGGTATACTCGCCCTGTCTCAACTTAATCGTCATAGGAGATTTTACTAAATCTTAAAGGACATTGATGCAGAACCACAATCCCGGACTGTTTCCAGTCCTTTTTACTCTACCAAGGATGAGCTCCCGCAAGCCTTCCCAGTTTACTGTTCAATTCTCCATATCTGCGATGCGATCACCACCGTACCATATGCTTGATGTCTGCTTTCTCATCATTACATTGTTGATTTGAAGCAAACATTTGCGGTGTCGCTAAATGTATTTAGTCTAAATTTGCTTGTTCTAAGAAGGACCAAACACATGGGTCAAGGGCTGAGTCAGAATGCCCACCTGACGTATTTTCGGAAGGGGAGGGGGAGGGGGGTGAAAGCTCGGTAACAAGGTCCATTTTATCCTCGCACATTTTGATGGTTGCTGTCGGCGGGTTGTTCTTCATATCGGCCTGTATTCCAACCAGAAAAGCATTCAGCTCGGGGCCAAGATCCTCGAAAGATATGGGAGTACCAGTTGAAGAGAGGTCGGTAGAAATGACCTGGGCAGCACTAGAAAGCGTTTCGTTGGCACGGACAAGATATTGTTCGCCAAGGTGTACCGTCTCGCTTGCAATTTTCACCTGAGAGGAAAAGTGCTGCTGAATTCAATAACCATTCGGCAACGAGAGGATTCACATGTGGTACATGTACCAACAATGACAAATTAAATGAAGTGGAATTGGATGTAAGGGGAATTGATGACTGTAATACCTGATAAGTAAGCATCTCTCGGAGCAAGTCGCGAGCCTGGTGAGGGCGGTATTCGTTCAGCAGATGGTGCATGTTAATGAACAGCTGTCCAATGTGGTCAAGCTTCTCCCTGCGCTTAAGTGAGCTTGGGTCGCGCGTAACGATGTCAAGCAGGTCCAGATAGTTGGCAAGGATCGAAAAATTAAGTTTCTTTAGCTCAGCTTTGCGGCTACATGTCTAAAATAGGGATGAAATTAAAGTCACCAAAACTCCAAGGGAATAAAAATCTAATCAGTCCCACGTAAAGCGTGGGAAGTCATAAAATTGATGACAAGGGGAGCACAAATTTCACCTGGGGATATATCCGACGAAAGCCAAAAGACTCAAGAGGCCTCAAGATGGGGTCATCGGTGCTGTACTGAATGCCAAAAGTTTGGTACGAAGTGGAGGGAAGTATTTGCGGAGGTAGAGGAGCTGTGCCGAGAGAAACGGCGTTGTCAGTGTACTTATTGATAAGCTCCCAAGGTGGGATTGGAAAAAGGCTAACGTGCGAAGGTCCCTCTGGTACGCGATTCATATTTTAGTGCGTAAACCATCAGCAGCCTTACGTAGGCAGCCTAGTAGTGCAAGAAACTCCTTCTCGCAGACGCCGCGTTGGACTTCAGCCTGACTTTTTATACAGTTGGAGTACAATTTAGATTCTTTGGCACACTTCGAAAGAAGAACAGGATACTTCAGCAGCCGCTCACGACCACAACCGATCCTAACGGCCATTTGCAGACGACGACAAGGCAAAAAGCACTTGCAGACTTGTAGCCCAATAAAACAAGCACAAAGAAGTTAGGTGCTACATATCAATTAAAATACCAGTTCCAACAAAAATCATAATGCTTAAGAATTTTCAGCTTTCATACTCTGTCTACCATCTCCTCTTTAAGGATTGTTAAGCAGTCAAAATTAAGAAGAATAAATTGTGCCATTTAACTGCTCCCCAGCAGATTAACTCGCATTTTGATTATGCTAAGAGTCAGCAGCTAAAGGATCAAATTTTAGGTCTTGATATTCATCCTCACTCAGCATAACTTTTAAGCATAATAAAACGTACTCACCTGTTGATCTTGTTGAGATTGCATTACACTATATTTTACACAAAACTTCCTTTCACCTGTTAGGCGGTTTATCTAAATTGCTGGCGGGCGAGATGAATGCACCTGCAGCGTTTGAGTCGTTCCTTCTAACAGAAGGCGAGAAAAAGTAGTTCTCCTCGTCATAAGACATTTTTAGAGTCTTTGTTGAAAAGGATACCCACGTTCCACATGCTGCTATCTTTACCTTAAATCGTGAAGACCATACCCTTGGGAACATGATCACTAGGTCAGTTCAGAATCTTCCCCTTTCTGACCGCCACGGGTAACTCCTGCCCTACCACCCACTTGGCTAGTAGAACTGGATTTGGGAAAATTTTTCTGATGTTTACTCTCTTTTCCTTACAATATTCTTCCTCAAACCCATAGGCAACTGTTGAAGGATCCCCGGGTTCTCTTTGCTGGCTACAAGGTTCCTCACCCCCTTGAGCACAGGATAGTGATCAGAGTTCAAACGACCTCCACAGTAACCCCCCTTGAGGTATTCTCCTCCGCTATTAAGGATCTTATCAGCGAAATCTCAAACATAGAAGAACAGTTTCGCGTAGGTTCAGTCGTTCTTATATTCACCCATCTTAGTCTACTATTAATTGAACGAACCAATCGAGGTTATTGAAGAATGTGTACATACTTTCCATCAAATAAAAGCATACCTTTCTAATCCGTTTTCATTTGTTATGGGTGAAGAACAAATATGGACATTTATTTAATTAATTACTACAGGATGGCAAGTTCAGACAGCCCACACTTCTGAAGCACGTCTAAAATAGGAAATTATGTGAGGTGAGATCATGGATCGAGAGCTTGGATTTTACTATGATCTGCTTACCTGAAAGGAATTCTAATAGGGAGGAGGCAGACGGTGTCGTTCACTTTCCGTCTTTCTTCCCAGCGCCCAAGTCGGTGCTCCTGACCGATTCCAACAGCTAACCATTTTCCGTCATTTGAGAACGCCAAGCCATTCACGTATCCAGCCTAGTGTACAAAAGTTTGCGCCGCGATATAAGAGCTAATGACCAACTTAGAATGGGTGCGGTAGGACTCACCAGATGAAACTCGCCCTCCGGAACTTTCACAATTTCTGCCTTGTCATGGTGAACTCTGAACCGGCCCCGTGACTTGGGTTCCCCATTTCCGTTGCCAATTTCATTTCCGCCTCCGCCAAATGAAAAGGCCTTTCCTTCTATTACAAGGCGCCATAACTGAACGTGACCGGATGAGGAGCCAGAGGCAATCAAATCAGTTCCGTACAGGCCTGATACCGCTGTTACCCAATTAACGGCGGGTCGCGATGTGACCAGATTTATGTCTTTGGTCGTGAGTGGATGTGCGGGACGTATTTTTGATATAGGACTTCCTCGACTGATATGCCACAGATATAGAGTACTGGAAACAAAGTGAATTTCCTTCTGATTAGTAGATTGTCTACACACAAACATGTAAGTGCATAACAACCACAAGAAATGCCATCTCAGAAGGTCACGTATAAATTGTGCTCAAGCTTACTTTGACGTTGATCCACCAACGAAGAGGTCGTCATTCACCGCATACACACACTCCACGGAGAGCCTACACAAAATCTATGACGACTTCAAAACCAACCAACAAAGCAGTGAAGGTTAAAAGGCAAACTCACTCAGAAGGGTCCCTAACGGAATACTGGGCGCAAACTTCTTCTTCAACCTTCCATAGACAAATACCTGCTCCTCCAACTCCAGAGGAGGACAAGCATCTTTCCGCGGAAAGTCCACAAAGTGACAGCACCTCGATCTTCGTTGCAGCCCTGGCATGAAAATTACGAAGACATTTTTAGAGCGTTAGGATTAAAGCAAGAAGCAGACAATTTAGTACCCTTGGTCTTGCAGGGCCTCAGTCAATGGCATATTCCATACACAGACACGACCGGAGCGATCTCCTGAAAACATCATGTGCGACTGACGGCGGAAACTCAACGCCTGTAGCAGATAACAAAAAGATGACAATGTTAGTCAATTGAGACGAAAATCTAGAAGTAAAACCTACAGTGACAGGTGAAAAATGACGCTGAAGACAAAACATGATTTCGAGATTGTCGGGAGCCCAAATGATGATGCGCTTGTCAGCACTTCCAGAAGCCTGATCGAAGAAACATAGCACCAAAAGAATTTTACAGAATTCGAGTAGGAAAAAGACTAGAATTACAAGGTACTTAGAATCGTCCGAGATAGCAATGGACAAAATTGGACCAGAGTGAAATCGTGAAAGAGACCCACGTCGAGAACCCGAAACGAATTTGACTTTTCTAAAATCCTTCAAGCTCCCTTAAGCAAAAACAAAGCAATAACGAATGGAACAGCTCACATTTACATAATGCCGCATCCTTTCCACCAGAATATATATATTCACAGTCCGATGATATACAAATGCAATTGATGGATTTTTTGTGGGCACGCAGGCAAATGATACTATCGGAAGAAACGGGTGCGAACTAGGGTAAATGATTCTATATGACACCAATAAAGCAAACCTTATCAGCTACTCGAAAAAGGAGTTTTCCTCGAGCCTGAAGAGCTTCCTCTTGCAATCGGAGGGACAACGTAGCTGTCGCATCCTCTTCATCAGAACCAGCTACGAAAATGATGAACCCAAAGTACAAAAACCTGCTTTCAAGGCAGCCGCAAGCGCCTTCTTTGTTAATCTAATATGTCTTTCATTTGGAGTTTCGTCTTCGAACTCATCCTCAGACAAATGAACCGAGCGTTCGCTGATCAATTGACATTAATAATTTGTGCACCCCTACCTAACATCGGAAGGTTCGGACTCGGAGGAGATCTCTTCATCACTGCTGGCAGCCTTCCGCTACTTGAGTAAATAATACATTTGAACTTATACCTTCGCCTTCGGTTTCCCCACGAGCGGACCAGACCCACCACGTTTCCCAACCATTCAAAACCGTCGTATTAAATACAAGTGATTCAAACAAAAATTTGCACAAAATTCTTAGCTTTCTAACAAATAACACTCAAGGATTTAATAGAAGAATTTAATTAAATTCGGAAGGATTCATAACGACAACCTTGGGCTTTGATCTGTAGTCGATCGAACTGGGCACACTGTAAAGAAGTGATAGGCGGAAAATAGTTGTCCCGGCTGCATATCGACTGAGCATTCCCCAAAGCTGACATTGTGATTTTGTCATTGTGGATTTCGATGTAAAGCTTTTGCAAATGACCATGACCTTGTTAAACTGGCAATAAAAGCTTCAAAGCAATTAAATCACAATACTAAAGCGCGGTTGTTGTGGGGCCTCAGAACGTCAAAAATGTCAGAAAAGATCATTTGACAGAAGTGGCTCTAATCCTTTGTTTATGTGACCACCTGACGTTTTATGGTCATTTTGGGATTGGTCTGGTCCTTGTAATCGTGGGCTAGCCTTCGAATTATGCTCAGGCCCACTAGATGGGAAGTCTCGGGACTCTACAGTGATAAGTTGCATTTTAAAGGAAGAGAAGCTGTTGAATTCGAGTTGAATAGTAGCTTATGTGGCTAAGATTATTGTGAAGAGTTCATAACTGCGAATTTTTCCACTAGTTCAAAGAGGGAATTGAGTTGAGCTAAATGTGCGTGTTTCTGAAAAAGAAGGGATTAGACCCTCGTCCCAATTTCCTTCCAACGTGTAGAAGTACAAACCGTCTACCGGAGTAACTCATAGACATGAGAGGGGTCAAATAAAATAAGTTTAGCAGATACCATGCTTATAGGCACTTATATGGGTAGCCAAATAAACAGTTGCGCAGCTGCATGATACCAGTTGACGTATTAGAAGATAGCGTTATTTGTGGATCAAAACATGCATTTAGGAAGTAAATGACGAGATTTGGCCTTGGACGGACTCGAAGCTCAGCTGAAGTGTGCAAGAACATAGCAGACTCCAAATTCACTGCAAATTCCCAAAATTGAAAGTCTGATTAAAATACAACCTGCCGATGATAAAGATTAGGCAATAAGATTCACCATGCACTGTTTAGTTCCAACCAAGGACGATAATTCTGATTTCTCGCTGTAGTCTGTGTGAACCGGGCTTTGAGTCTAGTCAGAGCACAAACTCTCCCTCTCGACCCCATTAAAAGTAATTCCTTCGCCCACCTAATGGAAAGTCTTGAGGCGTCGAATATCATTTCATACATCATTAAAAGGACATTTGTACATTCCCAAGTCGATTTTAGCCCCACGACTTCCCATTGCTAAAATTGATGATTTATTGTATTGTTTAAATATTTTCATAAAAGGGGAGATAAGTAATTAATACTATGTTTGTGTAGTCACGCCGTCTCTGGCGGTTATTTTGAGATTCTACTGACCCTTATACGTGTGAGCTGGTCTTCGAGTCAATCTCAGGCTTAATCCCTTTGCTCTCCTTGGAATATATGCATTCAGCTCCATTTGGTGCCTTGTTCTACATGGTGAGAAGTATCGGGGCTACAAAATGAAACTTCAATTTGTATCGGTGTTCAGCCTACCCGTTAGCACTAACATTGACGTTCTGGCATAATGAGGAATATTGTCGGCAAAAAATTGGTGTTTAATTACCTTATAAGTTCCGTTCATTTTAGAGGAATTTAAACAGAGTGTAGTATCTCGAGTCTTTCTACCCATTAGAGGAAATCAGTATTGCAACCGGGTATGTGTATTCCAAGGAGAACAAAGCAAATAGGCGCGAGCATGGCCCCAGACCAACCCACGAGTACGAGAGCTGAACAAATCTAAAGTGATCGCCAAACGCCAGGCGGCTGCATAAACAAAGCATTGCACCTATCATGATTTGGAATGTCCAAGATTTTCGAAATAGCGGAGTGTAAATTTGTATTAAATTTATGGATCCAATTGTGTCATTTCATGGTGGCAAGAATAGGCATGGAGATGATCACACGCCACAAGTTGTGCTAGCACCTTTCAAATCAGGCGCATAATGTGTTACAAACACTATTGTGTTTAAACTGGTGTTGAAAGTAGTGCCCACTCCATCCTTGTACTAACATAGAGTTGCCTTAGTCATGGCTCCAATTCCACTGCACACTGCATTAAAAAGCCAAACGGGTTTCCAAAGCAATAGCCACACATAAGGAGAAATGTACTCAAGCATGGAAGCAGGGTTTGAGGTGTCATATCATGATTCACTAAAGCCATAGTAACATGCCGAGGCATCCCACAGCGTAGAAGCAGGTATTAAGTGGAGCTGAAAGCATTTAATCTAGGGAGAGGAAAGGGATTGAGCCTGAGCTTGGCTCGGAAACCAGCCCACGCGTCGCATGACTAAAGCATTACGGCTTTGGCTTAATTTTTGAACTGCAAAAAATTTGTAAATGACTAACGCAAATATTAAATAATGTTAACTTACACGATTAATGTCAAATGTTGATTAACAGGGATGAACTATTTGATCGCTGGTAAAGGAAAGTGAAACAAATCATCTGTTTAGGAATTTTTTCTGCGAAAGGTAAAAGTCGTGTTTAAGAGCAAGCATTGGAGCAATATTAAGGTGCAAAAGAAAATGTGAACTTACCGAAAGACATCAGTTTGATCAGACATTTAAGTGCGGTAACTTGAAGTTCCAGATCAGTGTTAGAAATGACCTCATACTAAAAGTCAAAAAGACTTTATTATTTGGTTTAAGGCTGTGGGTATTCTGACCTAAACTAGACTGTGATACTTTGTTTATGTAAACACCTGACGTTTGGCGGTCACTTTAGAATTTGTCCGGTCATTTTACTTGTTGGTTGGCCTTCGGGACATGCTCGGGCCCATTTGCTATGTCCTCTTTGCAATACATGTATCGCCCTCTCTGCTACCTTCTTCCACCCGGTGGGAAGTCTCGAGATGCCACATTGGCTTTTTCCCCTTTACCATTTCTTTTCAGTGAGCAAAATATGACACTGTGCTTAGATAAACATGCATTTTGACGAAAAAGAGTTAAATTATAGCCATACCATGCCATAATTAAGCTTATACAGTGAAAGTAGGCTGTCTGCCGTTAATGCAGGTAGTCTTTGCGCTCGACCGTTAGTTTGATTTTGGCCTTTATCTTGTGAGCATGGCTGGCCATTGGGCCAGGCTAAATCCCAATCCAGACACTTAAGAAGCCCACCATAAAGGACACATAAGAGAACAACTCCGAAATTATGTCTAACATCGTAACAAGTCCATAAACTTTTGCTTTCCTCTGATCACTATTGTTCGACATGCAAGCACATGCATTTCACGGCATTGTTTTCAATGATTGAGTTAAAAAAGAGTATGCTTCGCATCGCTTAATTCGACTGCTTTTTTATAATTTAGTAGAATACTGAAAATCAGTTGCATACCTTTAGTACCAATTTTACTGGTGTTTATAGTTCATCCTTGACATTTGTTTATGCTTACCTCAGTTATAACAAGTGAATTTGTCGATCGTATAAAATGAAAAAAGCTCTGAGGCACACTACCACATCTACTGTGAGATGCTTTTAAATGACAAGTGTACATAGAAAATTTTGGAAATTGAATGTAAAAGCTTGAGAACAGCATTTCTGTTGTTGAAATCAGACGAACTGGAAGTTAGAACCGCTGCACTACATTATATTTTGAGACGAAATCTTGAAGGTATTTCGCTTATCCAAATCATTCCAGCTGATGAAATCAAATCTGATTCGATTAATATTCCGGACTTTGAAGTTTTGATAGATGTGTTTGATAAAAGCGACAATGCGTTAAAGGAGATTGTGCTGCAAATTATAATAAAATTTTCATCTTTCCTTATTGTTGCGAATCATTTTGATGCTGCTAAACTCATAGTTAAGCTGTGTGTGGATTGTCTTGTTCAATGCGGTAATTTAAGCTGTTTAATAACTTTTGAATACAGAGTTAAATAACCTTCGCTGCATCTGCTTGGAAATTTTGCTTATACTACTTGAAGTTCCCCTTCTGATCAATGAATTCCTTCAGTGCAAAGGCGTTGATGCTCTTCATCATATCATAAAGGGCTGTGAAGTTAGTTTGAAAGCACACATCTTGAAAGTTTTGGCTGTCCTCTCAAAAGTAAATCTGTGGTTGACCATTTTTAAATGCTCTAGGATTTTCACCTAATAAAGCTAATTTATGAAGATTTCCTTGACTTTTTATCTGAGATCATTTGTGACACTGATGTGGAACTTCAAATTACCGCAATTAAATGTCTGATTGGCCTGATGTCTTTCGGTATGTTCATATTTTCTTTCGCATCTTAATATCGCTCCATTACTTGCTCTTAAACACGACTTTTATCTTTCGATTGAGCACTATTAGATATTGTACGTCAAGATGTCATAGAAACAACTCAATTATTAATGATCAAAGAGTTCATTGCCGTTAATCAGCATTTGAAATTAATCGTGTAAATCAACATTATTTAATATTAGACTTAATCACTTGGTGTAGAATCAAATCGACGGCATCTTATCCAATCAGCTCTCTTATCGAGATTGGTCTCATTGTTGGAGAGACCCTTCTCAGTAAATTTATTTGCTTCCCTGCTCAAACTACTCGCTTGTTTACTTGACAATCTGTCAGCTTTCAACGTGAGTCCACTTTGGTAATTAGAAAATCCTAAACTTGATTTCGCCAACTTAAGTTGCTACTTCTCTTTAACCAGATGTCACACGTAACTACAATTGTTTTGTGGATCTCTCGTTTCATTTTCGGGGGCTCTGCAATAGAAGGTGGAGACACAAGTTCCGTGGGCAAAAGCCCGCGTAAACGCAATGCCAAAAGAAATCCGAAATCGGGACAGCGAGGAGTTTCCTCTGCTGGTAGATTGCAATCTTTTTTTATTCCACTCTAATAACACTCACTTCTTGCCCATGTTTTGCACATGCTTACAAGGAGATTGGGTTCTTCGTTTCTATCAGGACATTTTACTCTTACTGTACATC